ACACTGCTGGTGGGAGTAAAATATGGTACAGCCATTTTGGAGGACTTTCTAGGCAGTTTCCTTCTAACACTGAACATTACACTTACCATACAAGTTAGCAATTCTGCCCCGAAGTTATTACCTAGGAGAAATGAAAATGTATACCCACACAAAGACTTCAAGCCAAATGGGGAAACAACCTAAATGTCCATTGACAGGCAAATAGATAAAAATTGTGGGTGGTACATATACATACAATGGAGGAAGATTCAGCACTAAAAAGAAACTAATTTACTGGTACACACAAGACCATGGATGACTCTCAAAAGCATTATACTACGGGTAAGAAGCCTGACATAAAATAGTAGTTACTATATGCTTTCACTTACATGAAGTTCAAGAACAGACAAAAACAAATTTATGATGAAAACAATCAGAACAATGGTTGTCTCAGAGTGGGCAGAGTTGGCCAGAAAGGGGCGATAGGGAACTTCCTAGAGTAACAGGAATATTCTACATATTGATCTGGGCAATGGTTATAGAAGTGAATACATATGTGAAAATTCATTAAACTGAATATTCAACATCTGGACACTTGATTATATGTAAATTATGTCTTGATTTTTAAAGTTTAAGCCATACAAAATTAACAACAAAAAACAACTTGTAAATGTTTATACTTACCTCCTTTTCTTTTGAGCAAGGTTGAGTTCCATAAATTTATACTTCTGGTACTGTTCATCCAGCTTCTTTAGTACTGTATCTGCAGTCTCATTCCCAGGCTGTTTCATGAAGGAATCTACATCTTCCTTTAATATCAAAATAACACAAGTTTTAGACTTTTTTTTAAGAGATTTTAAACCCTGAGATCATGACCTGAGCCAAAACCAAGAATTGGTCGCTTAACCAACTGAGTCCCCCAGGTACTCTCAAATTTTAGAATTCATACCTCTAATCTGATTTTTGACTGCTTGAAATTTATCTTTAAAGCAAAAAAGAAAGAAAAAACTTGTTTCTGGGGCGCCTGGGTGGCTCAGTCGTTAAGCGTCTGCCTTCGGCTCAGGTCATGATCCCAGGGTCCTGGGATTGAGCCCCACATCGGGCTCCCTGCTCAGCGGGAAGCCTGCTTCTCCCTCTCCCACTCCCCCTGCTTGTGTTCCCTCTCTTGCTGTGTCTCTCTCTGTCAAATAAATAAATAAATAAAATCTTTAAAAAAAAAAAAAGAAAAGAAAAAGCTTGTTTCTTTTTTCCAAATACTTGTTTTTAACTAAAATGTAGTTATAAAAAATTCAAGACCATTTCAGACAGTGCACATACATTATGTAGCTAATTTATTCTTCCTCCACCTTCCTCTTTTTATTTTTATTTATTTATAGGGAGAGAAAGATGACCTTACCTGCTTTATGCACCCCCCAGGCGACCCTAGTAGTAAATATGAAAATTACAAACAATCAAACGCATTGCCTAGTCATATAGCCTAGTCACAAAACGACTCAACAGATTTTATGCCAAAATTATCGACTAAAATTTTTAATGCAAGTTCTACCATAGAAATCATGCTAACATATGGTCGTTAGGTTCCCAAGGCAAGCCACAAATACCTCCTTAAGTATCAAGTGGTGGAAATAAAGTAAACCTGAAAGGCAAACAGAACAATCTTTTGTAAAAGGAATAATGAAGCAAAAGAAAAGTAGCAAAACTGAACAGCATTTTTTAAATGTATACTACATGCTGGTCCTTGAAGAAAAACGAGTTAATAAGATAAGGATCAGGAACTAAGTGAAAATATATGGAAATTTTAAGGCAATCCTATTAGACGTTTCCAGCACTTTAAAGAACTTTATTCCTTCATTTTAAGTTAAATTCAATTACCTTACGGTTTCTGAGATCTCTGTATCATTATTCTTATCCATACTTACTAGCTATTAAGGGAGTATTTTAGCCAAAACAAGACAAGAAGCAAAAGAAAAACAACAGCAAGGGAGTGTGAACTCTGAAGCCATCAAGCTAGAGACATAGTAAAAGAAATTGAAAAGGTGAGGCTGGAGGCAATGGCTGAATTCTGCATGTATAATGGAGACACCATCCTCCCAGAAGGGTCACTGCAGGAAAGAGATATAAGTCAAAGTTTCTAGCACCTGGTAAATGTTGCTAGGAGCTTAGAGTCTAGCAAGCAGAATTAAGCAGCACAGAATTGTGGCTAAGAGACAGGGCCTGCCTTGTTTGAATCCTGGCTTCACCACGTACTAGATGTGTTCACTTTGGAGAAGTTATTGAACCTCTCTCTTTGACTCAAGTTTCTCATCTGTAAAATGAAAATACCTTTTTCTCACAGGGGACTAAATGAGTTAGCATGTGTAAAATGCTTACAAGAATACATGACAGCTAGTAAGTGCTCAACAAACATTAGCTATGTTTATATATGTCTATAATACAATGTGCTGAGGGAACAGATGAAAGTGCCAAAAATTCTGTCTTGGGGCAGTGCTCAAGAAAAACTACAGGGAGGGGAGCTTGAGTGGCTCAGTTGGTTAAGCGTGAAACTCTTGATTTTTGCTCAGATCATGATCTCACGGTGGTGGGATTGAGCCCTACCCTGGACTCTGCGCTCAGCACAGAGTCTGCTTGTCCTTCTCCCTCTGCTCCCACCCCCACCTTGCAAGCTCTTTGTCTTTATCTCTAAAATAAATAAATAAAATCTTTTTTTAAAAAAAAGAAAAACTACAGGGAGGTCATATCTGAACTAGATGTTGAGAGATTAAGACATCAGCAACTGGGCAAGGGGGAAAATGACAGTTCAAGCAGAGAAAGAAAACAAACTATGGCACCAGTGGGAATGGAGAAAAGGATGAGGTCTGACTTTTAACCAGAACAGTATAGGGCCTCCTATATCACAGAAACTAATATATATTAAGCATCTACTTGTTATACTGAAAGCACGTATTGCTTCTCATAGCAACTCTCTAAATATTGTTATCGCTATTTCAGTGAAAGTAACTGAGGCTCAAAGTGGTAAAAAATAAAATGGTCAAGATGAAGCAGCAATTGCAAAGTAGAGGCAGGATTCAAACCCTGGCTACTTAGAAGCCAATGTTCTTTCTACAGTCCCATGTTATTTAAATAATTACATAAAATTTGGATTGCTTATATATTATATTCTACAGGTAGAAATCTCAAGGTCTAGAAAAAATAACCCAGAGCAATTTTAGGGGGAAAAGGCATTTTAAGATAAGACTTTATAAAGCCTCAGATAAAGTGTACCCTCTTGAATTAGTTTTTTGAAGCTATCTCTAGCTGAGGACCAAGAACGTATTATTTAAGGCACTATGGAAATTGAATTCAACATCTAGTTATGCGCTTATACTATGTGTCAGGTGCTGTGCTAGGACCAAGAGAAATGACACTGAGCCAAGATGACTACCTCACTTTCCTCCCACTGGCAGAGCATGTAAATAGGGACTCTGGTGCTCCACAGATTGCCCAAGTTCAAATCCTGGATAACTTGCTTACTTTCACACTATATGACTTGGAGCCAAGTGACTCAAGTTCCTCAGTTTCATCATCCACAAAATGGGAACGATAATACCTACGTCCTGGAGTTTTGGAAAAGCGTTAGGAAAGTGCATGGCACTCAACAAATTTTGTCTCATTACCATTAGTTGGGAAACGAATGTAAAGAAATAAATGGCACAGCTCAGGGAGAAAACACAAAATAACAAAAGAAAACAACTACAAAATTGAATCAGCAAATGCAAATATGCAATACAGAGTGTATATAAAAGTGGTCTAAATAAAGAATAAATAAAAGAAATGGGTATTTTGAATCATGTAAGGTATCATTAACAAAAAGGTGGAAATAAAGCAATATAGGTACAAACCAAAAGGTCAGGAAAATTAAGACTTTATAGTAGCTCGGTCAGAACTGAGTGAAAGACAGATGATACTGACCTGAAGGCCAGTCGTGTTTTCTCTCATTATTCAAACAGTTTTGAAATACTATTTCTAGAATGGCCTAATGAAAGGACAGTGTTGAAGTTAATCTAGTTGCTTCTCTTTGATTGGACTTGGGTTGATCCCCGTGTTCTGTGATGCCTCCAAATTGTATTCCCTACCTCCTCTCTCAACTCCACACGATGCATTCTCTACTAAGTTGTTAGAATGATGTACCTAAAACCAAACATGATTATACCGTGCCTTTATTTAGATACCTTCTAATGACAGCCCGTTGCCTACTGGATAAAAGCCTCAATTCCTTAGCAGGACACACAAAGCCTTCACACTCTGACTCTACCATCAGTCTCTTCTTCCATTCCTGCAAGGCAACAGACCACTGCCTTCCTTGAACAGACTAGGTGTAATTTCCTATTTTCACACCTAAGCACCAGCTGTTCTGCCTACTCATTGTATCCTAAGTCACCATATAACCGTCGGTCCCTCCAGCATCCAGGGTGAGTCTCTCTCCGGCTGCTCACCGCCTCCCCCTTTCCCTTTTCAAGCAGCAGAGGGTGAAACTCGGCATCCGGGGGGAGGCCCCTCAGACCGCCCCGCCCCGCTCCGCTCCACAGTCCTCCCGCCCGGCGTCCCCTTCTGTTCGCCGACCGCGTTTCCCTCCCGGGGGGGGGGGTACCAGCAGTTCAGTTCGTCTAGGCGTAGAGGGGGAGAGCGGGCGAAGCGCTCTCTTCCAGTTCCATTTGCTCAACTCCTCCCCCAATAGTCGAGGCCGGGGTGAAGGCCGGGAAGTAGGGGTAGCCCGCGGCCTAGCGCCAACATGCCGAGGACCAGCGTGCGTCTTACCACAAACACGGCCTCAGGAATCCCTAGGTGGAGCCGCCGCCCGTTCCCTGTGGCCACTTCTCCTAAGCCACAACCGTCCTTCGCGGCCGCCATCTTGGGAAAGCGAGAGCGCGAGTAACTGCCTCCCGAGCCGCCAACCGCTGGTGGTCCCTGATTGGCTCGCTCACAGCTGCAGGCCCGCCCCCCCCTCCTCCTTGTGAGTCTGCGGGTTCATTGGCGCGCAGGAAGTAGCCGCCCCTTCTCTCTCCGACGAGTCGCCCAACCTCTGGGTGCTGATTGGCTGTGCACAGGTGAGTGACAAGCCAGGAAGTACCGCGGGGGGAGATGCTGGCTCTGCAGGAAAAACCAATGCAGGGTTCAAGGAGAGGGGTCTTGGGGATTTTGTGGGTGGGAGGGCTCGAGGACTCAGAGACCGAACCTGACCCCAGTACCACCCCAAAACGGGCAACACCTTCCAGAATAGCCTTCGAAGCGACCCGATCCCCTCTCGGCTACAAGTGAATCTGGGACCTAGACGCCGCGACGGGGCCTTGGTCTCGGTGCCTTTCTGGTCCCACAATCCGAGCGAGCTTCCTGGCCCTCAAAGGGGACTTGTTTTGTGTCTGTTTCGCAATGGAGCCATTGGCCTGATTTTAATAAATATCCCGCCCACTGCACCAACCTTTCCTGAAAGCCATCCTTGATCGGAATGTTGCCACCCCAATTCAACCATTTTCAAAACTTCATATTCTACACACAAAATCCTAAGAACTCTTCCGAGGCTTCCAGCCCTAAGGACTTCCCCAACATCGTCCACCACTACGACCCTTTGAAAGCAAGTGCGTTATACAGACGTGAGTACTTATTCTTTGGTCTCTTTTCTAATAACTAACAACCCTGTTCCTCCCGCCTTTGCTTGCACTGGAGTGCTTTGCAGTGAAGCGGTGCTTCATCCACTCACACAAACCCTACAATGAGGCAGCCCGTTTATGAATAAAGGATGTTAGTTCCCTTACTTAGTGGGGACACATATGTAATAAGAATAGTGATTAACATTTATTAAAAGCTAACTGTGTGCCAGTCACTGAGTCATGCTGTTTAATCCCCACAAGCCCAAGCTGAGAGGGACTATCATCACCCATAGTTAACAGACAACTATAAAGAACCTTAAAAATGAACCATTTGTGGGGCTCCTGGGTAGCTCAGTCGGTTAAGCCTCAGACTTGATTTGGGCTCAGGTCATGACCTCAGGGTCGTGAGATCGAGCCCCACCTCAGGCTCCACGGTGGGCTCTGCTGGGCATGGATCCTGCTTAAGATTCTCTCCCACTCCCTCTTCCCCTCCCACCATCTCAAAAAAATGAACCATTTGTAAGATAATAGGATAAATGTTATAAGAGTCACATATTGGGTAGCAAGGGAGCACAGGTGAAGACACTACACTACCTCAGAATGGTCGAGTTTCATTCTTCTGCATGAAGAATAACAAAGAATAACAAGGTATACCAACAAGAATGTTGTAAAGATTAAATGACATTATACATGTAAAATATCTAATATGTACCAGCCACACAATACAGTAACCAAATGATTTTACTTTCATTATCTTGCATCACATTGCCCGACTTCAAGCTATATTACAAAGCAGTGATCACCAAGACAGCATGGTACTGGCACAAAAACAGACATATAGACCAATGGAACCCAAATAACTCAGCTCTAAGTCCAGTGTTCTTTATTTCATGAAGACAGACCTGTGGAATAAAGTAGTATATCCAGAAACAGACAAGTACGCAGAGGTGGCATCTCAAACCACTGAAACAAAGACAGACTTTTTAACAAATAGTGTTGTGACAGCTGGGTAGCAATTTGGGAAAAGCTAAAATTAGATTAATATCACAAACCATATACAAGAATAAATTCCAAATGGATTACCAAAATAAATGTTAAAAACCCTAAATCATGTAAGTACCAGAAGAAAATATGGGGTAATTCCACCTTTAACTTTGGTGTAAGACATTCTATGACTCATCCAGGGACAAAGAGAGAAAAGGCCAATATATTTGCCCATTTATGAAAAACAACAACAACATAACTCCTGCAAAAATGATACCAGAGCAAATTCAGACTGTAAATTCAGCTTGAAAAAATTCAGCAAAATTATGTCACATAGACAAAGTCATACTGAAAAATGGGCAAAAGACAATTAACCAAAAGATGTAAAAGTTTCCTTTAAGCATGAAACATGTTCAACCTCACAAACACTAATAAAATTCAAAATAAAACTACTGTGAGGGGAAAGCAGTAAGATGAATGAAGACCTACCTGAGAGCTTGGGGATGGGGATGGGACAGGGAAAGGACACGAGAGAGGGTAGAGCAGAGTACAATAATGATGGAGCAAGGGGCAGGCAAAATGATTAAGGACCAGAGAAGGGAAGAAGAGCAACATAATTAAAAAAGAGGGCCATGGGGCGCCTGGGTGGCTCAGTCGGTTAAGCATCTGCCTTCAGCTCAGGTCATAATCCCAGGGTCCTGGGATCGAGCCCTGCATTGGGCTCCTTGCTTGGCAGGAAGTCTTCTTCTCCCTCTGCCCCTCCCCCTACTCACGCTCCCTCTCTCTCTCTCAACTAAATAAAATATTAAAAAAAAAAAAAAAGAGGGCCAGGCCAAAGGACATTGAGCAGGGCTGGAACTCTCAGACATGGCATTTATACAGGGACAAAGAAGAAAGGGAGACAGGGAAATTGGAGGAGAGGCACACCCTCCACTCTGAACACACTCAGGAACCTGCTCAGGGAGGGGAACATGGCTAGAGGTATAGGAATTGCAGCAGGACTGGAGTAGTAAAAACAAATGGGCAGGGATGGAGAACTGAGGAGTGGGAGGCAGGTGGATTGGAGGGGGGCAGAACTGCAGACCTGGGGGGACCAGGATGGAGAGGGCATTGGAAGAATGAGGAAAGTGGCCAGAGCTAGAGGACTGGGGAGAGAGGAGGAGTTCCAGGACTGGGGAGATGGGAGAGGTTGCTGGAGTAGAGAGAGGGGAGGGAAAAGAGAACTGGGGAGAGGACTGGACTGGTGTAATGGTGCTGGGGGAGTAAGGAAAGTGGGTGGGGCTTAAGACTAGAAAGAGGGGTGTTTGTAGAGGACCTGATAGAAGAGAGGGTTTGGAAGACTGGAAGGGGCAGAACTACAGGACCTGGGACAGGAAGAAGCTGAAGGACTGGACATGGGGTGGGGCTACAGGACTGGGGAAAGGGGAGGTGGTGGAGGGCTAGGAAGATGATTGATGCTGGAGGAGAAAAGAGATTGAGCAGAGAAGTTGGACTAAGGAAGTGGAGGGGCCGAAGACCGGAATGGGGCGGTGGTAGAGGGCAGTGGGAGCTTCTATATAGTAGTAACAAAACCTTAGAATATGAAATTAAATAATACCATTATATTAGAATTAAAAAACATAAAGTACTTGGTAGTTAGATAATGAAATATGCTAGTTACCATTAAAAACTCCAAATCAACAGAGAGAATTTAAAGAATGCCTAAATAAATAAATGGAGACTTATGCCATGTTCATGGTTTGGAAGCACCGATATTGCTAATGTTTCTATATGTCTATTTTCTCCAAATTTAACTATAGATTTGGTGTAGTCCCAATCAAAATTCTCAGGTGCCTTTAAAAAAAAAGAAATTGATCAGCTGATTGTAATATTTTCATGGGATTTTCACAGAGAACCTGAATACCTGACACAACCTTGGAAAATATGAATGAACATGGAAGACTGTTTTGTGACCTACAGAAAACAATCATAATCAAGACAGTGTGCTGTTGGTCTAAGGATAGAGATACGACTCAATGGAACAAAACAAAGTAAAAAATAGAGCCATAAATTTGTTGTCATTGAGTTTTGAGAAATCTACCAAGGCAACCCAAGGGGAAAAGAATTTGCTTTTCACAAATGTTGCAGGAACAACTGCATAACTATATGAAAAAGTAAATCTCTACCCTTACCTGGCACCAAACATAAAAATGTATTTTAGATGGATCATAGATCTAAACATAGAAACTACAACTATAGACCTTCTCAAAGAAAATGGGAGGATATCTTCATGACATTGGGAGAATCAAATATTTCTAGTGACACAAAAGGCACTAATCATAAAAGAAAAACTTCATAAATTAGATTTCAAAATTAGGAAACACATTTACTCACCAAATGATACCATTAAGCATGTGAATAGGCAAGCCACAGACTGGGACAGATTATTTGTAGAATATATATCTAACATAGAATTAATATTCAGAATATATAAATAACTACAAATAAACAGTCAAAAAAAAGAGAAAACATTAAAATGAATAAAGTAGTTGAATTTCACACACACACAAAAAGATTGGAATGACCAATAAGTATGTAAAAAGTCGCTTAGTCATCAGAGAGATGTAAATTAAACCACAATATTATGTTACTACAAACCCAATAAAACAGGCCAGATTAAAATGCTGATAGCAGTAATTGTTGACCAGAATTTGGAGTGCCTGGAATTCTCATACATTGCCAATAGGATAAAGTGGAACAGGAGTTTTTGGAAAACTTTCGGCAGTTTTAATTTTAGACAAAGACCTACCCTATGACCCAGCTATTCTACTCCTAGGCATTTACCCAAAAGATATATCCACATTTGTCCACAAAAAGATTTGTACAAGCATGCTTATAGAACTTGTATGTATACATCAATTTAAAATCTGGTTTAAAAATAATGAGTAACAAGAAATATATTTTCAGATAAACAGAACTGAGTTTATCACAAGCATAACTATACTAAATGAACTTCTAAAAGTTGTACTTCAGGAAGAGGGAAATGATTCCAGTGCAAGAAGGGATAGCGAACAAAGAATTTGTAAACATGTGGCTAAATCTAAGCAAAAACTGTTTCCATAAATACTAATCCTTCTTTTTTAAGTGAGCTCTATGCCCAATGTGGGGCTCAAACTCACAACCCCGAGATCAAGAATTGCATGCTCTCCTGACTGAGCCAGCCAGTCTAATACTTTTAATTTGGGGGGCTAACAAAATGGGGCAGGGCTAAAATATGGGACCACAAAGTATGTAAGTTGGGAGGGAATGTCCTTGTAGCTTTAAAGTGTTCTAAGGTCCGACACAGGGAAAAGATGGCGGAGGAGTAGGGGACCCTATTCCAACTGGTCCCCGGAATTGAGCTGGATATCTACCAGACCACTCTGAGTACCCACGAAATCTGTCTGAGATGTCAGACGATAGATCTGGATCTCTACAAACAGAAGATCACAGGTGGTTGGTTTCGAGGTACGAAGTGGGGAGCCGTGATTCCATGGGCAGATATCGGAGGATAAATGGCAGCAGGAGGGAGCCTGGCCGTGGGGATCCTACACCACCAGTGAGCGATAACCTCCCATGCTGGGGACAGGGCACAGACTCGCAGACCGGTAGCAGCGGGGAAAGGACTTTAGACGGAAACTGGAGCGGCAGGGTCATGCATGCGAACTGGGGGCAGCTGGCAGTTTTAAAAGCACAAAGGGCAGAGACATGCCCCGACCTGGAGGCAGGACTGGGAGTACTGCAGAGGGGCGCACAACCCAGGACGCTGCAGTTTATAGCAGCACAGACAAACGGAGAGACTGTGGCCTGGAGAGCTCACTGAAGAACAGACTGCGATCTCTCTGCTCTGAGGCAGAGGGTTGGAAACAGTCTCTTCTGCTCTGACTCTCGGAAGAGATGCAGAAAGCCGCCAGGGAAAGCCACCAGAGAACAAAAGCCCCAAAAAACTGGTTCCCACTGACCCAATCCCCTGCCACAGGGGGGCAGGGCAACTCCAACCC